GAGAGAGAGAGAGAGAGAGATCTAGGTCACAGCTGTTCACTACAATATTTCTGTTTTCACCTCCTCTGGAAACTCACATCTCCTCCTCTGCTCCTCTCTCCTCTAACCGCTGTCGTTGACCACGTTGTTAGAGGACAGTCGGTGCCTCCTCCCTCGCAGGGAGCTGATTGGTGCAGAGAAGTGTTCTCAGCAGGTGAAGGTGAAGCTTTCCTCAGTTCATGGTTCAGTTCTGTTGAGAACGTGTGAACGAGCCGCCTGGTTTCAACCTGAGCTCGGACGTCCAACTCGCTGTTACAGAAAGTTACTGGTGTAATACAGACGTGTAACCATGACACGTCCACCGTCAGGTACCACGTGAAGTTGGTTCCTGGATCCAGTCTTCAGAATATGGATCCTCAGAGTTTCAAGAGGTTTCAGAGCTTCAGCCTTTTCAGTCTGAATATCACCTGAATATCAGGTGTGAAAGGTTCTTCAGACCAGAAGAGAGGTTCTGGGTCTGCATCAAACTGAACCATGGTTCTGTTTGGTGCAGAGTGAAACACTCTCTTGGATAGTTTGGACTTTTGGATCAATCACAGGAAGTGGAAGCAGCTGACAGGATTGTTTTCAATCAAATGAAGAGGTTAACAGAGCTAATGCTAATTATAGAGCGACCCTCCTCCGTGGAGGATCACGACCTGATCTGCAGGTCATCATGTTTCCTCTGTGTCTGTCTCCAGGTGCCGGTCGCAACGGCTACACCAAAGCAGTGGATGGAGAGGAGGGGGGAGGAGAGGGGGAGGAAGAGGAGGAGGGAGGAGAGGGGGATGGAGAAGGAGGAGGAGGAGGTGAGGAGAGGGACGGAGAGTGGGACGAAGAGCTGGACGGAGAAAATGAGGGAGGTGTGAGGATGACAAGAACCGACACACTTCACTCGACCACAAGTTCGACCGGAACACAGAGGAGGAGAGGACAACACGCTAAGAAACAGGTGAGACAACACGCTAAGATACAGGTGAGAACATGCTAAGATACAAGTGAGAACATGCTAAGATACAGGTGATGAAGATGATGATGTTCTTCCTCCTCAGGTGCAGGGCAGTAATCAGGTCCAACGAGCTCCTCGAGCTTTATATTGTCTGAAACTGAACAATCCAATCAGACGAGCCGCTCTCTCCATCGTCGAGTGGAAGTATCCTTTACTCCGACCAATCATCTGTCAGCTTCAGATAATCAACCCTCTCATCTGCTGACAAGCAACATGAGTCATCAGTCATGTGACTGCTGAGTGTGCTAACTTTATGCTAACACGTGTAGCTTGTGATTATTCTGTAGTGGACGTGATGTCGTTTCCTTAAAGCATCTCTCAGACCCTTCGATATCTTCATCTTGTTAGCCATCTTTGCCAACTGTGTCGCTCTGGGAGTTTCCAAACCGTTTCCTGAGGACGACTCCAACTCCACCAACCACGACCTGGTGAGACACAACAATACAACTCAAAGATTATACTACACAACTGCACAACAACAGGAACGTTTCCTGCGGACAACTCCAACTCCACCATCCATGACTGTACAACTACACTAACTAAACAACTACTCTACTATAACTACACAACTATACAATTGTACAACTACACAACTTCCCCCTGCTTCCAGTCTCTGTGCTGAGCTATGCTAACATGTTACCCTGAACGAAACACTCCTGTTAAAGGTCGAAAGATAAATTCAGGAAGTGAGTGACAGGTCTGTGATCGGAGATGATCGGCTGAGTTTCTGCTTCGTCGCTCTCTCTCTCCTCTCAATGTCAGTGTCTCTCTACCTTCAGTCACTCTGCTCATGAAGTCACTTTACATCCAGGTCACTGCCGTGTGTGTTCGGGTCTGAGTGTTAATTAAGAGCTAAAGGTTGAAACGATCAGTAAATCGTGAAGCTAAGCTCGTTGTGTGTTTTCAGATGAGTGGAGCGTGTTCTCTGTGTTTCAGGAACAAGTGGAGTACGTCTTCCTCATCATCTTCACCGTGGAGACCTTCCTGAAGATCCTGGCCTACGGTCTGGTGATGCACCCCAGCTCCTACATCCGCAACGGCTGGAACCTGCTGGACTTCGTCATCGTCATCGTCGGGTGAGAAAACAGAGGGGCCGTTCTTTAGAGGTTCCGTGTTTAGATGTTGAGGTTGAGTGTGAAGCGAATGGTCGCCATCTTGGCTCGGTAGCAGAGGGGGCGGGGCCATCAGCATATTATCAAACAAAAATGGTGGCGTAGTTTCCACGGTGGGCGCACACCTTTAAGTTGTAAGGGTCCAAACAGAACCAGGTTTAGATTCAGGATTGTTCTGAAGATTGAAGAGAAGTTTTTGAAGTTAAGGTGTGTGTGTGTGTGTGTGTGTGTGTGTGTGT